AAAAAAAATGATGTAAGTGTCTATGAAAGAATATCCGTGGCACAATAACCTCAAAAATAATACTTAGGAGTAAATCCAATCAAAGAGGTATAAGGTCTCTACACAGAAAACTACTGAACACGAGTCATTGATGAAAGAAGTCAAAGAAGACACAAATAAATGGAAAAATATCCTGTGTTCATGGATTGGAAAAATTAATACTGTTAAAACATCCACACTATTCAAAGCCTTGTTGATTCAGTGCAATCCCTATTAAGAGTCAATGGCATTTTTTACAGAGGTAGAAAAACAATTCTGAAATTTATATGGAACCACGAAAAACCCCCAAATAGGCAAAACAATCTTGAGAAAGAAGAACAAAGTGGTAGGCATCTCACTTCCTGATTTCAAGCTATACTACAGAGCTATGGTAATCAAAACAGTATGTTATTGACACAAAAGTAGACACACAGACCAATGGAACAGAATTGAGAGCCCAGAAATAAACCCACACATTTCTGGTCAACTAATATTTGACAGGAGAGCTGAGACTATGCAATGGAGAAAACACAGTTTCTTCAATAATTGGTGCTGGGAAAACTGGATATTCCCATGTAAAGGAATGAAACTAGACCCCTATCTTATACCACTCACAAAAATTAACTTGAAATGGGTGAAAGACTTAAATGTTCAACTGAGAAACCATAAAATTCTAGAAGAAAAAAATGGAAGAGCTCCTGACATGGATCTTGGTGATGATTTATTTTTGGATTTGACACCAAAATCACAGGCAACAAAATAAAAAATATACAAGTAGGACTGCACCAAATTGAAAAACTTTTGTAGAGCAAGGAAACGATGAACAAAAAAGGAGGAAAGTATCACAAACCATATATTTGATGACGGGTTAACATCTAAATTATATAAAGAACTCGCATAACTCAATAGCAAAAATACAAACAAACAACCAAATATAGCTGACCTTGAACAACACAGGTTTGAATGGCACTGGTCCACTCATGTGCAGAGGGCTGACTGTATGCATTGCTCTATACCATTTTTATAAAAGAAAACTGAGCAGCCACAAATTTGGGTATCTGAGGGGGGTCCTGGAACCAATTCCCTGCAGATACTGAGGGCCAACTTAGTTGAGTTTTGGAGGAGTCAAATTTTATATGTGGATTTTTTATTTTAACAGCCCTGAGTTGTTCAAGGGTCAACTGCCATCCCATTAAAAATGGGCACAGAAGCCGAATAGACATTTTTATAAAGAAGACATGCAAATGGCCAACAGGTACAGGGAAAAGTACTCAGCATCACTCGTCATCAGAGGGCTCCAAGTCAAACCTCAATGCTGTCACCGCACACCTGCCAGAATGGCTGTCATCGGTAAGTTAAGTGATGGTGAGGGCGTGGAGAAGAGGGAGCTCAGGCACTGTTGGGGGGACTGCAGACTGGTGCGGCCACTGCAGCAAACAGTATGAGTCCCCTCTAAAAGTTAAAACTATAACTGCCACATTATCCAGGAAGTCCACTTCTGGGATTATATCCCAAGCAAACAAAAACATTATGTGAAAGAGATATTTGTGCCCCCACGTTCATAGCAGCATTAAGCCATAATTATTTCCAGTAACCATGTTAACAGCCTAAATGTTCCCTGACGGATGAATGGATGGATGTATGTTTGTATATGTGTATACACACACTGGAATATTATTCAGCCATCAGAGGAGGAAATTCTGCCATTTGAGATGACCTGGATGTATGGATGGACCTTAAGGGCATTATGCTAAATGAAATAAGCCAGACAGTGGAATCTTAAAAGAACAAAACTCAAACTCATAGAAAAAGTGACCAGATTTGTGGCTACCAGAGTCAGGGGCGGGTGTGGATGGGGACAGGGGCAGTTGAAGGAAGGTGGTTGAAAGGTACCAAGTTCCGGTCACCACATTAGTAAGTACTAGAAGTGCCACGTGTAACGTGCTGACCACAGTTAACATTGCTGAGTGGTATGCAGGGAAGTTGTCAACAGTAAATCCTAAGTTCCCATCACAAGGAAAAAAGCATTTTCGTGTCCATGTGAGATGAGGAATGTTAATGTACTGTCGTAATCAGTCCATAATAGAAGTCAAATCATTATGCTATACATCTTAAACATATACAGGGCCATATGCCAATGATATCTCAATAAATCTGGAAAAATGTAGAATATCTGCAGGGTATTTAGAGATAATTGGAGACGAGCGTGGTGCTTGATGACTCTTGCTGACTCACCTGACACAAAATCCACAGAGATCCGACCTGGGTGCCTATTATGCCTTCTATAGAAACTGAGTTATACACAGAGGCCATGCAAATTGTGATGTGCTGCTTGGGCTGCTTTGCTCTGTTTCCACTGTTTGGTGCATGCCTAGACTCCCCAATGAGATTGTAAACCCACCTGGGCAGAAACTCTGCCTTCTTTTTATACTGGAATCTCCAAGACCAGCAAAACATCTGGGTACCAGCAGGTGCTCAGAAGTGGTATAGATGATGATGAAGGTGGGACTTAAGGACCCTGGTCTGAAAGCCAGGGAATATTCTAGCAATCTCGGTGGGAGTTTACACCGTGCTCCAGGAGCGAGGCTGGAGGCCAGTGGAGTTACCTGGTCTGGAAATAGAGCTCATCTGTGTTTTCAGAGGCGTCCGCCGAAGCCCTTCTCTGGTCTTCTCCAGAACGAATGCTCTGTCCTTGACTCCGACACAGCAGCAGCCTCCCTGCCACCTGTCAGTGGACCGCTGCCAGAGTGTAATTGCACCGGGTGTTGTGAGAGGAAGCCCGAGTTAAATAAGGCCCTGGCAGAGTCAGGAGGACCAGCAGAGCCTTTTCTTACCTGTTAATGAAGCCTCATTAGAAACAGCAAGAACCTGTGCTGAGAACTGGAAGCACCAGCCAGCCTTGGCTCAGGTGCCAACGGATGATTAATGTGATGATTTACGGCAGCTGCTCTTTGAGATTACAGAGCAGAGGAGACCAGAGAGTGGGCCTGGCCCAGTGTGCAGGCTGATGGAGACGTGGGGGTGAGGTGCAAATCCCTTCCCCCCTTCTTCTAATGGCTGAAACAGCTTCTAGGTCATGGAAAAGGCATGGCCATTCAGACACAGAAGTACTTCCTTTGGATGGCTGACCTTTCAGGGCCCTCCCACTGTATTTAGGTTAGGAATGTTGGTGTTAGCTTGGGGGGGGGGCAAAAAATTAGTCATAACAAGTAAGACAGAAAAGAAACAGCTTAGTGTATAGTGCATACAACACAGCAAGGCCAGCCACACACCGTGTTTTCTGGGGGAGGCCCTTGTACCCACTGGTTAGTCACGGGCACCCCTGCATTGTTGCTTTGCTTCTCTTTCAAGCTTTCTTAAGAGCCAATAAGGCTTCTTTTGTTTCTGCTGGCCGTGGCTATATGGAACCACAAATGCTGGGGGGAGGGTGTCTTCAAATGTGCCTGTAGTGGGCACGCCCCCCTGTCCAGATCGGACTTTATGAGGACAAAGACTCGGCTGGGATATTTTGGTCTGTGATTCTGCGTGACAGGTGGACTGACAGAAGCTTGAGGGAAGAACTAAGAAATGGAGGTTGGGTGTGCATGCGTGTGTGTGTGTGCATGTGTGTGTGGTTTTAGAGGCACCGAGAGCCTGTGTAGGACACAGGTGGTGGTTTCACTTTTAATCAGAAGGCAGCGGAGCCTTGCCTGGGTAGGTGGCAGATGCAGGAACTATATTTGGCTGGCCTGGGCCCTGACCCTGGAAGAAAATTCTGAGGCTCCAAGTGAGGTAAGCAACCACAACCTAACTAATCCCTCAGACTTAAACTGAAGTTCCCTTTACACTGATTGCGTGGTGCTCTGACGACAGCGGTGAGATGTGTGTGTCTGCACGTCAACACCCATGCCGAGCGCGTTAAAGAGGTCTGAATGCTTTGCGCTGCCTGCAATTATGACACACGCAATAAAGCACCACGCCTGTCCCCTCTCTAACAAGAGCGCTGTTTCGCCCCCAATCATGGCAAGCTTGCCTGCCTTGAGCTCAACTCTTGCCCAGGTAGTGCATTTATGTCGATAAACCCAAGAACAGCTGATCCTTGGGTGGCGAGGGAGAGGGCATCACGCTCAAGGAACTTTCCGGAGCCTTCAAGAATGGCTTCCTGAGCAAAGGCCAGGCAGGCCAAGCGATATGGAGACAGGCTAGTGAGTCAGGACAAGCAGAACAGGGAAACTGAGACAGATCATTAAACGACCAAGCAGTTTGCAGACTTCTAGTAAATCTCATCTTCTCTAAATCAAGGACACTTGGTTTGTACTTCTCCTCCCCAACCAGAGGAAAAATAGCTTAACTCAGCCCACTCAGGGAGATAGATAGCAGAAATCCAATTAGCGACATTTGACAACCACAGCCAAGGACAGATGAAGTTAAAAGAATAAATCTCATTTTTGGCGCATCAGCATAAAGCCAATGAGTGTTCTATTGAGATATTCTCCTAAGACCTTCCCTAAACCCTCGGCCTTTGAAACCCTCGAGATGAAGCACCTAGCATGAGCTCTCTCCCCACCCCCCACAGGCCGGCATCTCCTAAACTCTAAAAGGCCCCATGAGACTTGCAGCCGGGAGAGCAATGGGTAGAGGAGGCAGCTAGTCCTGGACTGACTCCCTGAACCTGTTTTTAAGGCCCCGTCTTCTCTGACTTCCCAGTGAGCTAAAGCAGCCCCACCTCAGCTCCTTTCTTTCCTTTGACATTTCTAGAGAATCAAAGCAGCCCAGCCTAGGCGCTCCTGGTGCTTCTGCTATGTTAAGTCCTTTCTTGTTCCACTGTCCCCAGCTTTAATAAACACACTCTCAAAATCACCTGGACTCGTGTTGTGAAATCTTTCCTGCACAAAGTCAAGAACCCACACACTTCCAGCAGGTCCTGGGCAGCCCCTCTCGGGGCCAGGTCCCCTCTCTGGTAACACTACCCGTCTCCATCTGATAGAACAAGGTAGGCAGACTGGAAGCTGCACACAAAACATTTATTTGGAGAGAGACAGGGAGGTTGCTAAGCTACAGACTACTTAAATTTAAGGCAGAAGGACCCTCTCTCTCCACTTCCAGGAAGCTTTTCAGCTCAAGCTGAACCAACCCAGAAATCTCGCAGGTAATCTAGCTTGGGGTAGGTGGGGGATGGATGGGGGGTTTTGGGGGATGGGTCGGGAGTAGGAAGAAAATCCTTAAGAAACTTCATGGTGAGGAAGGCAGCATTTCCTTCACGAAAAGAGAAAGTTTCTTCATTGCCTGAAACAAATAAAGAAAAACACATTTGAGTGAGAGAAGCCATGAGTGACAGAAATTAGTACAGACATCACAGGAAGAGTGTAGGAAAGGGAGGCGTCTCGTGGAAAGAAGTTGGCCTTTGGAACAAAAAACAACTTGGGTTTCACATCCCTGCTCCGGGGTTGTTAGCCATGTGACCTTGAGCAAAGGACTGAAGCTCTCTGAGGCTTTGTTTCTTTTCTGTAAAATGGGGATGATGATGTCGCCCCAGCAGGGTTTCAGAGAAAATGGAGATAACAAAGAATATGAAACTGTGCTGGCACATCCCAGGCACTCACTGAATGGTATTCTTATATTGTTGAAGAAAATTCAGCCTAACTTGGTGCTTTTTATATATGTTTAAAACAAATGTGTGCATTTATTCAGATGTTCATAGGCATATGAAAAAATTAACTCGGTCAGAAACATCTAGCTTTTGTGATCAACAGCAACCATCCCATGAAAAGACAGTTGAAAAAGTGCTTGATGACACACTTTCCCTGTGAAAGGGGGAGGGGTTAGGTGGCTTCCATGCAGCTCCCTGGTGTTCTGAGGAAAGGGGTGGGTGTTACAGAGTGCGTTGCAGAGAGCTGGGAGCCCGGGCTCCAGTCCTGGCTCTGCCTCCACCTGCCTGCCGGATCACAGAAGGTTCCTTTTCTGCTCTGGGCCTTTGTACATTATTTTTTGCTGGAATCATGGGGCTTGGACTATATAATCACTAAGTTATCTCTTAGAAATGATATTCTATTCCTTATTCAATGCATGCCACAGAAAGGACCTTGGAGGGAGATTATGGAGACCTAGAATTATGATAGAATAAAGGCTTGGATTTCCTTATAGAGTTGGCAAGAAACTAGTCCCAAGACTCAGGCATATGCTCCTGGAATCCTTAACCGTTAAAAAAAGACTGCATGTATACATCTATGTACATATGTGGGTATATATACATGTATACCTACATAGACATTATGTCATCCCTTCTCCTGGCCTCTCTCCAGTATGGAGGCTGGAAAAGCTAAAAAGTTGCTTTTGCAGCACCCCTTGTACATAGGTATGGTCAATGAGATCAGGGACAGTCCATTGGAGGACTTCTCAAACATTTTTCCTTCACTGACTGACAAAGAAGTTACCCAAGGAGAGGCCCTTTTGCTGTCCTCTCTTCCTTCCCCCTTCTTGTTGTGAAAGAGACATAATACCTGGAGCTGTGGTAGGCATTTGGCAACCATGGGTGACAAAGAGGAAGACAAAAAGTCAATGTGTCAGGCAGGGATGGCATATCAGAATGATGAAAAGACCTTGGGACCTTAATGAAATCATGGAGAAACTTAGACCACCCCATTTCTGGAACTCAAAAACAGACACGGCTTGTGCCCCCCTGCTCACAGTGTGGTCTGCAGGCCAGCGGTTCTGGCATCACCCAAGAGTTTTGTTAGAAATGAAGAATCTTAGGCCCCAGCCCATATCTACTGAAGTAGAATCTGCATTTTATTTTATTTTATCTTATTATTTTTTATTTAAATTATTTTATTGTTGTTCAATTACAGTTGTCTGTATTTTCTCCCCACCCCTTCCCCCACCCCCTCCAAACCCACATCCCTCCCTTGCTTCCACCCTCCCCCTTGGTTTTGTCCATGTATTCTTTAAGAATGTGCATTTTAAAGAGATGCCCATTTAAAGAGAATGTGTATTTTGGGTACTATGGGTGCACATCAAATGTCAGGTGCATTGGTTTATAGCACCACTAACTAGGCTCTATTACATGCAGCTGAAAGCATTCCTAATAGTTACCATGTATGTACAGCAAGTCCTCACATAACATTGTCAATAAGTTCTGGGAACTATGATGAAATGATGAAATTGGTTTAATGAAACCAATTTTACTATAGAATAATTGATATAAATAAGTTCCTATGACATGTCATCAACATTATAATGAAATGCTGTTGAACTAAATGACCTACCTTATTTGAGAACCTGCTGTACTCAGTATGTATGAACACTTATATGTATGTCTATGTGTGCATATCTGTTCATGTGATTATAAGCAGGTACACACATATGTGTATACATGCATATACATTTGTCTATATATTTGTGAACATATGTATATAGGAATAGAAGAATCCTGGAAGGACAGAGCTAAGCTATAGGACTGTGTCTGTGTGTGTGTTGGGGAGTTTGGGGTGATTTCTTCTATCTAAATTACTTCTAAGTGTTTGAAAACAATATTTTTTAAAACAATGGGTTGTGCTCCTTCTATAATTAAACAAGAAAAGAGACTCACTTGCTCTCCTCCCGGTCCAGCAGAGCATGGTAGGACGCCAGGTCCCTCTGCAGCTGGCACCTGTGAGCCAGCAGATGCTCACGGGCCCGCTGCTGCTGCTCCGCCTCCTCGCGCACCTCCCGGAGCTCCGCCTCCAGCCTGCTGACTATGGTACCCAGGTTCTGTAGCTCCAGGTCATGCCAGTGCTTGGCATCGTGCAAGGTGTTCTCCAGGCCTCGTTTCTGCAAGAAGGAACATGTCCAAACTCAAGGCAGACAGGAAGGGTCCTTGGAGTGGGAGGCGTGTAGAGCAGTGGGAGGGGCTGGCATTGGTCTGGTCCTCCATTTCTTCAAGGACAATGACCTTGCTAAGCTTATATGGCTTGGTGTGGAAATAATGAATCTTCCTCAGGAGGCCAGACTCTTGTTTAGTTTAATTCACTGATTGTTCTGATGGGGGTGAGGGTGGATGTGTGTGTGTGGGATGTGCCGGGGGCAGGGTGTGCAGTGAGGGCAGGAAAGGAAGAAAGAGAAAGGAGATAGGGGGGCGGGGAGAGATGAAATATAAGAATGAAAGATGAGTGAGAAAATGAGTGAGGAAAAAAATGAGAAAGAGAGAAATTCACACACACACATACACACACAGAGAAGCAGTTTGCAGGTGTGTCTTCAAAGGAACCTTGCTCTCTCAGTGGCCTCTGGGCCTTTTTGCTCAGGTTTTCTCACCCCCTGGGGGGTGGATTTCCCTTCCACTGCTGAAACCTCATCCATCATTCAGCTCAAATGCTGTTTCCTCTGACATTCTTTCCCGGATTATGAGTTAGAATGAATGTCCCTGGCCTTTCCATACTCAGCACTTTTTTCTCCAGTGTTTTAGGTGCACATTTTGGCTAATCCCTTTCCTTCTGGCTGCCCCTTCACTGTGCAGGCCCCACTGCCCCATCCTGAGCCCATTTCTCTCTGAGCTGTGCCCCCGGGCCTGTGTTCATGGGTCTCTCCCATCTGCCAATGACTCCTGCACTGGCACTTCTAGCACAGACCTTTCCCCTAAGCCCCGACCCACGATGAACTTCTTGCTGGAACTACGTACAGTCCAGGGCACCTCAAATCAAGGCGTCCAAAATGGATCCACTCTCTTCCCCTTAGACCTGTTGGTCTTTCCTATTCTGTATTTCAGCAGGTGAGCTCATGAGAACTAGAAACTGGGGAAAGACATGCCCCTGACCTTCTTGCTTCCCTCCCAAGTTCAGTCATTGTGGAATCCTGCCTGTTGAGTATTCTGAAAAGTTTTCACATTTGTGCCCCCTCTTCTCCAGTCACCAAGACCCAGGATTGATGCTCATCACCTCTCATCTAGGGTAACCTCACGGCCTCTTAGCTTGTCTTTCTGCCTCTAGTTCCTCCTTCTGCTGCGTTCCCCACACGGAAGCTATGGTGCTCTGTCCAAAGTCCAAACCTGGGCCTGTATCTCCTGTGCTTTAACCACATCTGCAGTGTCCCTAACAAGTCACATAGGAGTGGCCTGACATCTTTCCATCTTTACCCCCCACCTCTAAGTGGGGAATACAGCTAGTCTTTGAGTAAAATGGGGTTCGTGCTGTTTCCTGCACCTGCACCATCCTTTTCCATTCCTTCCAGCCTCTCACCTGGTTGGCTCCTACTCATCCCCGATTCTAAGCTCAGGGGTCACCCCCCTACCCCAGAAAGCCTTTCTTGATGCTCTCTTGCCCCTACCACCACCTGCTGGGTTAGGTGCCCCTCCTCTTGGTTTCCATGGCTGCCTGAGTGCACATGTGCCCTTGAACTTATCAGAGTGGGTCGAGGTCCTTAGGGGCATGTGTCCTCTAGCAGATGGTGAGCTCTTTGAGAGCAGGGACCAAGTGTCTGTAACCCCAGCGACAATACAGGGCCTGGCACAGTGTAGGTGTAGATGCCTGTGTGTGTAGGTTGCTCAGGATGACAGTGCTTAAGTACACTAATCGCCCTATCTATCCGTCTCCCTGCTAGCTGGAAACCTTCTTCTCCTCTCCCCGTGTACCATGCCCTGCATGCTGTAGGGCTGACCACAGATGCCTTTAAAAATCTGTGTGTATCTGTCCAACATTTTTAATAGTTATAACTATGGTGAACCTATAATTTAGTATCTGGCTTTTTACATAACACATAAGAAACACATAAATATCTTTCTAAATTGGATAGAGTCAGATTTTGCTGAAACAAATTTCTGTACCCTGATCCCAAGGAGATTTTTCATACCCTTTTGACCACTGTGACTGAAATGAAAGATTTTTGGTTATTGATGCTGTCTCGGATCCCAGCTGTTGCTAAGTGGGGTCACCATATTATCTTATCTAAATCTTAATTCCATGGGATACGAGGATGTTGAGTCAGATTCCCATCCTACATTTACAGGTAGCAAACTGTGATCGGTAGTTGAATAGATGTATATTAATAACTGGTCTAAGGCTATTATTTTGCTGGTGGGATCTGAGAAACCCCCTATGACAGTGAGGATACAGAAATGGCCACCCCGACTTTGAGAATTATTGTTCCATCTCCCCCACAGTCCCCAGGAAATTGCTTGGTTTATGAGTAGAGGTTGTTGACCTTGGACCTGTAACACCTGTGATTTGGAAAGCCATTTTACAGAGCCATGGTTGAGTCCTCTGTTTGTAGTAGTGGATCCAAGTTCAGGGGCGACTCCTGCATGTGGCCTAGGCTTTTTCCCTGATTACTCAGGACCCACTGCCCAGGGTGGGTTCCTGGGAACCTCCGTCTCACCCTCAGAGGCCAAGTTCAGTTTCGCCACCTGAGCCCCTGACATCCTGGCCTGGTTCACACCAAGAGGCCTGAGCCTCAGTCCCTGGGACTGGGCCCCTGCTGCAGAGGTCCTAGCCCTGGCCTGCTAGGTGGCACATGTAGCAACAGCAAGCAAACTGAGCCCTCACGAGCACCCTTACTCCCCAGTTTATGGGGATTTGAAGGGATGCCCTTGAATTATAAACCCTCCAGAAAGTAACATAGTGACCTATTAATTTCTGGTCTAGAATTCCTGATTTGAGTTGACTGAACACAGAGCTTAGTACGCCTCAAACACCATTATTAGTGCCTGGCTGCCAGTGTAAACGGTGCCTGGTTGGAAAAGAAGGCCAAATTTCTCATCATCTTGGCTTCTGAGGCTCATGTAAGCTGCGGGCACCTTGTGTGTGCACAGGTTGCTCTGAGTGAGGATGATAGGGTGGCTGGATGAACTCTGCCATGTTTGAAGGCTATGGGGGATATACTACCTGTTCTGGCTCTGTCTGTGCTCCTAACCTTGGCTACAAGGTGCAGTGACCAGAACTCTGATCTACTGGAGCCAGAAGGTGACAGAGGCAGCCTGTCCTGAGTCCTAGGCATGCTTAGCATGTCACCACACCTAAGTCTCTGGTTGTGGGTGTGAGTTCTTCTTCCATTTGTTCCAACAGTTAGAACCATGGGTTTAAGTTAGGGGACCAGATGATGCAAAGTTGGGGTTACTTTACTGGTGGTTCTATGAATGCTATAGTGATAATTAATAATGCTGTTTATTGACAGCTCACTCTGTGCCAGGTACTGTGCTAAGGCCTTGCACTCTCTCATTAATCATCCCAATGGCTTTATAAGGTAAATCCTGTTATGGTCCAGGGGTAGATCACCATTCCAAAGGCAGCTGCCACAGTGATTTCTGCCCCACCTGCTCTTTCTCTATGGGCCATTGCTGTGGCCCCATCAAGAAGTGGAGTTTCTTTCCCTTCCTGTTGATTCTGGACTGGTTTTGTGACCACTCTGACAGTAGCATGCTGCCTGAGTGATGTTCAGGGACTTCCCAGCCCAGGTGTTAAGAGAACTGCTAGTTTTTGTGCTCACACTCCGATGGAAGCCAGACACCAGTCCAACTCTGCAAGACTCCGATGACATGAGGGAGTCACAGTCAGCTACACAGAGGGGACACAAGGAGAGAGGAAAAGAGATGCACAGCTGAGGCACCAGATGTGGGAGCTGAAACAGCCATTCTTGGATGTTCCAGCCCCAGCAGATGCTACATGGAGCAGGGAAGAAAAAACCCTCTCTGAATTCTGCCTAAATTGTCCTAAGCCACGAACACAGCAGATAAATATAAATAGATCCTCACTTTATAAAAAGTGAGAAAATGGAATTTTAGTGGTCACACAGCTCATGATAGAGGAGCCAGGGCTGACCCCAGCCTGAGTGCCAGTCCCCTGTTCGTTCCATAGGGTGGGCATGGTCTCGGACAGAAACGTAGCCAGCAGAGCTCAGCTCCTTCACTTCTTTGTGTTAATAGGAAAGCCCTGGAGCCACAGACTTCTCATCTGCAAAACGGGATGGTAGCCGCAGCCCAGCCCTCTTCTCAATGTTTCTGCGAGGATCCAATGAGAGAATGCATATGAGCGTGTTCTTATTACTATTGGTGTCACTTCGAAGAAATTTTGTTTTCAGCGCTGTACCGAGTAATTTGGGGACATAAAAGTGATTACACCTTGTCCCTGCCCTCAAGCAGTTAGTGCCACTTTGTGGATGAGCTAATTTCACCACAGGCACCGCTGTGAGTATGAGTGGGCGGCAGGTGGGAGACACCACCCAGCTGTGGGAGTCAGGAGCTGTGTGTTTCAGCTCCCCTGTGCCCAGGGTGTGTGGTAGGGGTGGGCACACCTGTGGGGAGGAGTCTCCTCCCAGCCATGGGGAGGATGCATCCAAGGACTCAAGGGTGGGAAAGCAACGGATGAGTTCTGGACATTAACATGAAGCCTGAGCGGGGTGGCGGTGGGAGGTCCAGCAGAAAAAGGCCTCTGTGGTGGGCCAGGCCCAGGGTTAGGGACACTGAAAGTGCAGACAAGAGGAGACAGTGGATGGAAGAATGTCCAGACAGGGCAACACAAGACAGCTGGAGTCTGTTGAAGGAAAGAGGTGGCAGATACAGCTTCGGAGGTTTGTTGAGGTGGGAAATGGAAACCAGAGATCTTGTGTTGGGGGATCTTAATTTTATCAGCAGGATAATACAGGTGACAGCACCTGCTGAGGGACAGCGGTGTGCGTGTGCGGGGGGCTCGCCGAGAACGGAAACGGTTGGGAGCACCCGCTCTGAGGAGCAGAGCACCCCTCCACTGTGTTCAGTTCTCTGTGCAGAGGTTTCCCCCACCAGTCAAGGTCCGAGCTCTTAGATGGCAGGAAGCTCCCGATTCGCATTTGCCTCCCAGGGTCTACGGGAGGGCTTTGCGCATAGTAGGCACCCAGTAGATGCATGTGGAGTGTGTGCTGAGTGATGGGCCACCTGCCACTTAGGTGTAATTCATCTGGGCTTTTTTTGATGGTGTGGCCTTGAGAATATGTTCTCAAATCTTGTGCCTGGAATTTTCTGTCACCAGAAGGACATCTGGAGAAGGAAAGGCAGCCCCTTAACTGTACCTAAAGCACAGGGGGGAAAGCCAGCACCCCTAACATTAGGGTGTTTATCAGTGGTTATGGCAGGTGAATGAAATAATGAGCATAAATTCACATAAATAATGCCATCTCTTTTAGATTTTTTAAGAAGTGAAAGTGTGAAACAGCATTGCTTTAAAAAGTAGTTTCCTGATTTTTCTCACCTCAGATCCTTTCCTCTCACCCCCTTGCGCTGACCCAGATCCCGGCAGAGGACAAGTCGGGCAGAAGGGGAGCATGTGGTGCGGGTCACGTGTGGCAAGATGACTGTGCCTCCTCCCTGAGCTGCCCCGGCCCTGTGTGGCTTTGCTGGCCAGAGGACAATGGACCCCAGTGACCTGAAGACCCACAAAGGACGGGGACTGAGAGCGATGGGATGATCTTGACAACAGGCAGAGAGAAAGTTGTTTCTGAGGGGAGCTGACTAGAACTAACATCATGGCAGGCTGTGGTTGTAGCGGGAGGCGGGGGGCTGCTGGTTTGATGATGGGGCTGATTCAGGTGGCAAAACTGAGATGCAGGTTTATGGGGTGTGGTGGAAGAAAAGGGCCTTAACAATGGTATCTGATCAGCCCTGGGACTTGAGGCTGGTGGGCGAGAAGGGCTTCTTGGGCCTCAATGGTCTTCAGATCATCTCTGCAGTACACATGGCGCCCTCTAGGGGGCGTCCAGGAGGAGCTGTGCTTGAACTTGAGGCCATCCCAGAGAGCAGAGGTGTGTTGCTGTATTACTAACAATCATTTAAATTAATAATAATAATTAATGATGCGAGAGAGCCACTCACAACCACAGTGAGTCTGAGTCTGAGGGGCTTTCTAGATGTCTTAGGTTGAGTGCCCCAGAAACAGAGCCTGAGACAGGGATCCTGGTATGGACCTAATTAAGGGGTTGCCCTCAGGAAAAGGGGGAGCAAGGAGAGTAGAACGGGGCAGGGAAGGTGATGAACCAGGAGGTGGTCATGGAGGAGTCTGGCTACAGCTTGACCCCACGGAGCCTCTGGAGGGTGAATTACACTAAGGGCTGCTCCACTTTGATGCAAAGGAGCTGGGTCTTCAATTCCCCCGTGAGCCAGCCATTGGCTGGGAAGTGGGCTGGCCTGACTTCCTGAGGGCAGGTGTCTTCTGTTTGGCTGAGGGCAATTCTCTGGAGAAGGGGGGCAGCAGAGGAGGAGCATCTGTGAACACAAGCGGCCAGCACTCACAGCGGCAGCCTGGTGAAGCATGTCTGGGCTGGGTACTCACCATGTCTATCACACTTGTGATTCGGTATCAGATAACCTTTCAGGCCTCAAAGACCTGCTGTGAGATGGAAGTCCCTTGTATATTGTGACCCGCAGGACTGCAGTTCAATGGTGGAGAGGTAAAATTGTTCCAAGAAAAGCCAGGTCTCCTCCTGGCCCACTCACCAGGGCGCGCAAGGATTCCGTCTCAGCCTGGAGGCTCTGCACTTGGCACGAAGCGTTGTGCACCTCCGCCCTGAGGGCGGCAGCCAGCTTCTCCTCCTGGGTCTGCGCCAGGCAGGCCACCTCTGTCTGCTGCTGTGGACAGTGAGGTTTCCGTGAGCAGGATGGGCAGAGAGGCCGCCCGTCCTCCCCCTCCCCTTCCTGATGACCGCCCCACTGCTTCTAACTCAGAGGAGACCGCTATTAGATTTAAGAATCCCTCTTTTTCTATAGGTGCGCACACCAGCTTGTATATAAACATTCATTTAGTTTGAACATATACAGCATGCAAATAGAACGACATTGAAAAGATTTTCTAAAGAATCTATGGTAGCACCCTGGCCGGGTGGCTCAGCTGCTTGGAGTACCATCCCGTTCACCAAAGGGTTCCCGTGTGATCCTCCATCAGGGCATGTGCTGGGTTGTGGATTCCATCCGGGTTGGGGCCCTTACAGGAGGCAAATGATCAATGATTCTCCCTCACATCCATGTTTCTTTCTCTCTCTCTTTCTAAAATCAATAAACATATCCTCTGGCGAGGATTAAAAAAATATATGGTAGAAAGTATATAGAATCTTTTTTCCCTGTGCTCTAATTACTCAGTTCACCTGTTTCCAGTTTTTTATACCTCCTTCCAGAAATATGTCATATAAGGATTTATAAATAAATATGTATGACCACCTCCCTTGCTTTGGTAGTTAATCTATCTTGGAAAGTATTCTAGTATATCCGCACATACACGTCAATCACATTCTTTTACACAGAACTACCCTATTGGGAAGTACCATAATTATTTAGAAGCCCCGCAATGAGGCACATCTGTGGCTTCCAGTTTGCCTGTTGTAGTCAATGGTGCAAAGCACAACCTACATCCCTCATTTTGAGTCTGTGGGAATATCTCTGGGGGTAAGTTCCTGCTGCGGAATCGCTGAATCAAAAGTGTAGGCATCTGTGACTTTGATGAACTTTGCCAAATCGCACTTTAGAAAATTTGTAACTCCTTCCAGCACTGTAACACAGTGCTGATTGCCGCGCCTTCTTCAAATGAGTAGTTAACAGGCTCCATCTGATGGTCCCCATTTCCTGGAAAAAGCATGTCTGGCTACAGTTGTGACTACGAAGGGGCAGGTCTGTGTTTTGGGCCTTCTCCCTGAGCAAGACGGACATGCTATGATCCCTCCCCACGTGCTCAGGGGAGCAGGACGTTGTTACTCCTCTCTCCGCTGGGGAAAGGGGAAAAGCGAGAGAGTGCCCTCACCGATAACTTCAAGCCAAGTCTGATGGCATGCCACCAAGCCAGGGAGGTAGGAGAAGCACTGCTTTGTCTCCTAGTTTACTGGCTTTTTGGATTGGCCACTTTTATTACATATGAATACTTACTTATTGAATTATGTAAAAATAATCCAATCCAACTGACTGGCTCAGAAACCCCACGTCAAAAGGCTCATACCACAGGAGTAGTTCTTGCAGTTTTTGCTGTTGGGAAGCTGTAAGGAACTCAGCACAAGTGCCCACTGAAGGTCTGGGATCAGCTGAAGGAAAGCAGAAGCTGTGGGCACAGCTCCAGCTGATCACCTGGGCCACCACTCAACCTCTCTGCACCCCTGTCCGTGCCCATAGGGCACAGATGACAATGAGTGGTAAATGATAATCACATGACCATCCCCTGGATCACTTGAGGCTTTCTTCAGGTTATGCATGTAGAAGCTTTTAGAACCTTAAAAGCATGCAGACATAGGCTGTTGTTGGGAACTGCCCTGACTGGTATCAGAGGCTGAAACCCCCGCCTAGGCTAAAGCTAAGGGAACGCCCTTGGAACTGTAAGCCAGCAAGGAGACAAAAGCTTATCTCCCTAGCAGGAATGCTGCTTCTGCTGCTTTATTTATGACTGAACCCCAAAAAGCTTGGTCGGTTAGCCAAAGACGGGTAAGATTCCCCACAGGGGGAATGACCTAAGACAGGCATGATCACTTTGGGAGGCCCCCCAAAAGAAGGACTTGGGGGGGGGGCTGCAGCAAAAGGGGGGTGATGGACCCTCACTCCTCGGCTTTGACAAAGTCTGAGTTCTCAGCGTCTGGAAGAAAATCTCCTTATCTCTCGGTTGCCTTAGTTCCCTTGCTCCACCTAAGCCTGAAACAATGACAGGGTGGTACAGCTCGGTACTGAGAAGTGCGGATTTCCCGGGGGTGATCAGGCCTAAGAAAGAACATGTAAATTACTGTGAAACCTTCTTTGTTTAGAATGCTCTCAGTTGAATGAGAAGGGTCTTAGGAGGAAGTTATTTTGTTCCTCAGTCTTACAGCTCTTTGACCCCAACTCAATAGACCGGCAGAGTTCTTTGTTTTCTATAGTTCCTTACTTCCCCCGAATGAGTACTGTACTTTACCTGAATTATTATGCAGGATGAGCCCAATAAAAGCAGGTATGCACGGTAAATCAGCGCGCTCCCCACTAGGGGGGGTGGCCATTTCGTCCCTACTTCCCCACAGAAACTAGTCTGTCTCTGTGCATGTGTTGTTTTTTCTCGCGTGTTTATCGTCGAGCCATCCACAGCGTTCCGTGGTCACTGCTGGCCGGTGACCCACACGCAACAGGCTGTATATGCTTTCTATACATGAAAAGTAGAATTAACCAATAAATGGGTTTGTAAAGCCACTATGAGTTGAATACTGCTAATGATAACTAACACGGGTGCAGGAGTACTTACTCTGGGCCAAGCACTTGGTTAACAGCTTTTAGTCTGTGATCTCATTTAATTTTCACAACCCCATGAAGCAGGTGTCACCATTATTCCCATTTTACATGAGGAAACTGAGATTGAGTCATTTTTCAAGATCATGGAGTCCTGGGGGCAGAGCTGGGACCTGTGCAGCAGCAGACCCCAGAGCCACGCTCCTAACCAGAGCTTAATGCTGCCGCTCCCACCGGTCTCAGCCGAAGACCCTGAAGTTGGAGTTGCCTTCACAAGGTGAAGGTGGATCATTCTAAAACACCCTCATTGTCTGCCAAGTCCTCCCGTGATCAGTGGTCCCAATGTTCCTTCTCTCTTTGGGGCTGGGACCTGGCCAGATGGGCTGTGTGGGTGGGTGGGGGCAGGAGAGGGGTGTCCTGACGGGCAAGTAGAGTCAGGTGGCACACCCTCGCAGAGGGGCCAGTGGCAGTGTGAGCTGGGGCTGGTGGCCCCCCTCAGCTTATGAGAGCTGTGTGATAAATTTTCAGAAATTTTGTAAGCTAGTTGTTGTTAAACACAGCCATTGTTAAAAATTAAATTATATCAACTCACAATTAAATAAGTTATATTAAAAATGGTAATAAATACTCAAAATGCGTCACTTGCTAATTACTTACATTTTGTCATTATATGCTGTCATTACACTGATGGCACCTGTGTGGTGGAAAGGACTGGTGTGTCCCTGCGCAACTTCGTGTTCATCGACCTTGAGCTGCTAGTTTGAAATCAGCGTAGACACCGTGAATCACTGTTTTACTGATTATCTAGACTTAGAAAGGGAGGCAGAAAATGTTAACAATGCAGATCCAACTTAAAAGTGGGTCCTATTGGCAGCTGTTGCACTGTGAGTGGCACAAAAACCAGAGGGCACATTCCTCCAACGTTTGGAAACTGTTATCTGACTCATGGAGAAGTTACATCATTGGTGAGTGAACTCATGAAGGTCAACACAAATATCAACTAAGATTCCCATCAGAGTTATCCTCATTCATCACTGAGGATAGTATAGTCATTCATCACTGAGGATAATATAGTTTTTGTATAGTCAGGTATTTATAATCAGACATTTTCCTGTAGTCTGATCTGGTGACACTATTGTTGGTGACAGAATTATAAAAACGGTTGGTGGGTTTTGCAAGAGATAGCAAGTCACACTGCAGTTACAGGTGCAAATGGAAAGGCAAAGTAGGTATTCATCTGAAAATTTATGTTATTTCTAAAATTAGATAAATAAAATATCACCAGAAATCCTATGTCACTTTTATGAGGCATTGTGAATCTGACTGATGTGTATATGCACACGCTTTCATTCCCGCCACGCCCAGCACAGCTGTGAAATGTGGCTGGGGCAGCGTGGGTAAGAGCTGGGCGTGAGTGGACGGATGGCAGGTTCCAAAGCCTTGGTGGGTGGGTCTGGACTGAAGCTGCTGGCCGAGGCTGTAGCCACAGTCCCCCTTAGATCTGCCTGTCCCTCCTGTCAACCCAGACAAGTGGCTTGTATTCAGTGGTATGTACCAGTGTCTGGAGGGATGAATCCCTAGGTCTCAGTTTCATTAGCAGGATGCTGTACCCGAGTGTTCCCCAAACATTCTCGGATGACCAGCCTGGTTTTTCACATATCTGCATACTAATTTGAACTATTTTTATTGTAACCAATTCCCTTTGTCTTTGTAAATAAATATGTATAAAATGGAAACTGTAGACTGGTTTCAAATTTTCATGTGCATCAGCATCATCTGGGGAATCTCGTGAAAGGGCAGGTCCTGATTCAGGAGTCAGGGATCTGAGGGCCCAGGAACCTGCATTGAAAACTGTCATCCTGTGATGCCTGGACCACGGAAGCAAGTTTCTAGATTGCTACAGAAACTGATGGAACTGCTTTACTTGCTGCAGAGAGAAGATAACTGAAAAATTAATAAACTTAAAACAGAACAATGTTATTTTATTCTAGCAAATGGTGCCTGCCAAGCAGCTGAGTCCCAAAGCCTGCTTTCTCTTTGTTGAAAGCTGAGGTTAACAAGTACAAGAGAAGTGTTAATGGCCTACCAGCACCAAACGGGAACTTTCTGATAGTTTAAGATTGAAAGAGAAAAAGAAATGAATTTGATCACAATGAATTACATTGCCATTTCATATCATGTCTCGTGCCTTCTCAAACCAGCTTACCACACACTTGCCCCGCATCTGGGAACACTTAGGTGTGTGAACTCACCTAAAATGATTACATGCTCTTCTCCCGTGCCTATTTAGATTTATACTTTCCAGTTATTGCAATAACTCCACTTCTGTTTCCATTTCGACCCCGTGCCTCCAGACCTCTCCTCACAGATCAAATAGTGGGTGTGTGATTCCTGAGCCTGAGGGT